ATGATGGTGATGATGTTGAAGCTATGTGAATGTCAAAGTTGAGGATGAAGATGATGATAATGATGATAGCAACAGATGTTCAGATTATTTGCCGTGTGTGTGTGTGTGTGTCAGTCTGCTTGCGTGTTTGCCTCTTTGCCTGCATACCATTGACGCAGCTTATGACGTCAATAGTCATGATAATGATGTTATTGGTGTTGGTGGGTGGTAGTGGTGATGATAATGATGGGTGTTGTAGTAGTTTGGGGGTTGTATTTTTTCATTCATTATGTAAATGTATGCATATGTACATATATATATATATATATATATATATATATATATATATATATATATATATATTTATAGGATGAAACTATTCAGCAGCATTACATCATGTAAGACTCTTGTTCATCATTTAAATTCTATGCAGAGATGTTGAAGGTCTTCATAGCATATTCATAGAAGATTGAAAAAATTCATATTACCATTTTAACAGTTAAAAATAGGTAGCTTGAAAAACAACCCCTAACAACAACAACAACAACAGCTATATTTAGTTTGACTTTTTTAACTACTATGCTTTTAATTTGAAATGTTATTTCTAAAACATCTATGGGCGTTATGCAAATTACACACACATACACACACACATATATATATATATGGACGGTTGGTCCTATATATATATATTTATATGTGTGTGTGCGTGTGTGTGTGTGTAGTTGTTATTTCCTTTTAATTAGAAGCTGTAAACAAGTTACCTTCATGATAACCAAGATGATTGATTGAACGATGGTTGGAGAGCATACAGATAGTTACAATTTGTGATACAAACTGCAGGCACACGCGTGTACAGCCCTCCTGAATGGATTGAGGAGCACAGGTACAAGGCGGAGGATGCAGCTGTCTGGTCACTGGGGGTCCTCCTCTACGACATGGTCTGCGGGGACATCCCATTTCAGAGGGATGAACAGACGCTCAGTGGCGTCATCGAATACAACAAGCACTTGTCTTCTGGTTGGCATATATTATTATCATTATTATGATCATCATCGTCATTTGTGATGCTTTGCTGTTTGTGATGCTTCTGTAATTTTTTAAAATTGATCTGATTCGCATCAATTTATTTTTGTACAATATTCAGCCATTCCTAACAAAACAAAACCAACAAAGCTACATTTTAAGTTGAAACTGATTTTCATTGGAACAGAATGTAGAGATCTGATAGAGCAATGTCTGGCGCACAATGCCAACGAGAGACCGAAACTTAGAGACATCCAGCAACACCCATGGCTTCATCAACATCAATTCCATCAGCTGAACTTATCCACATAACATCCTACATCTAAGCCTTTCCGTGCAATACGTCTATATATATATATCTTTATTTGTTTTATTTATTCATGTATATACATATATAAACTATCCTCTTGACTGTACTGTGCATACGCCTACGCAGTATGCAGTTCATTTATTTACGTGATGTTTTATTTACGTCGTTGTACGTCTGCTGTTATCTATTTATTCACTTCAGTAAGTGCTTGTGACGTCACGTGTATGTGTAAAAGTTAAACTTATTTATTGTAAACTTTTGCGAGAGTGCCGTGTAAATCTGATATCCTCCGAAGAATGTCGCCACAAGATGTCATCCACTATTGGGTGGATGGACGGATGAATGAATGAATGAAAAGTTGATTGGTTTTGATTGATAGGTTGAGTAGAAATTGGATGATAGATAGTTTGGTTGGGTGAGGCAGATTGATTGCAAGATGGATTGACACGTACCCGAACAGTCTCAACATTTCATACTGCACAGAAGTTGAAAAATTTCCAATGTAATTTACACTGTATATTTTATTTTGATTAGAAGACTTTTTAGTGTTTCATTTATATATATATATATATATATATATATATATATATATATATCAGAAATATTTATCACTTCATTTATAAATATTTGGGTTATTTACTAGGTTAATTTGATGAACAATTGCGAAGTGTAGAAACTTCTTTCTACACTAGTTAATGTCTATCTTTGTTTTTTCAACCATCAATTCCAATCTGTATAATTATGTGTGTGTACGTGCATGCAAACATACACGTCGGTTATTACATACACACGTACGTACACAGACGAACTAAACAGATGCAAAGCATACTTCTACGTACACTTTTGAACAACTTTGATTTTGAAGTTACAAAAATGTTTTCTTCTATTCTGAACTATTTATTATGATGCACATCTAACTAAATAACGCTACAGAAAACATTTTTTTCATTTATGAAAGCATACGCACCCCAATTCAAAATAGCAAGACACTTTGTTCTATTCTTCACTATAATGGTCAGTTTATCATTGTGACCAAAAGAATTATTTCTTTGTAATTCATAATTGATAAGATTTGTAATATACAAATTATATGCTCGTCTATGTGAAAAACAACACACACATAATATATATATATGTATTTACATAGATATATGAGTGTGATGTACTATATAAACATAAATGAATAAAACACCCTACGTATAAATCAATAAATTCGCAGCTATGTATTTAGTTTGTTTTTCAATATAAAAATTGTAAAAAAATCTTATTGTCCTTAGAACGCAGTAAAATTTTAAAGTAAATTAATCAAAAAAATTGAATATCATTCTGTTTAGTGGATAATTTGCGAGTACAGCATGACACATTTCGTTAAACTGACCTTTTGAATGGACTAAGATTTGTTATGCCCGAACACGCTGACATGGAACAGCTCATGCGAAATCATACAATTTTGTAGATCAGTGACTACAGCGTCGTGAATTTAATAAATTTACTGAGAATCTTAGGCAACGCGCATGTAACAGATATATCAGGCAAAAGACAAGCAAGTAATAAATCGTACGGTCATAATTTGCTTATCTACAGTGTACTGCAAACGTACAATTATAATAAAATGCGCACACTCGGTCCAGAAAAATTGATTAAATACGTATTAAGGACATGGAAAATAAAATGTCAAATATATTGTTTGAACGTTTAAAATTTTCAGTGATCAGTAACAATGTGCTTGCCTTATTCAATAACATAAACAACCATATAACGACAGGCATGGGCTTTCTTTCATTCATTCATAAGTGTTCATGTTCAAAGCTGCGTATTTCAAAGATTCTGGAAGATGTGAAATTAGCAGTTCGCTAGGCATTATTTCAGATGAAATGATCTTCAACACTATCAATACGATGAGCATATCTTCGCTTTGCAATGAGCATGATAAAAAAACATGTGGGCAGGAGCTACTCTGCACGAATCAGCAAACCTTTGATACGTCATAGTGATGCCACAGCGATGAGGTGATTGAAGCGTCGTGAACGACGTTGTTGGTGACGAGATGAATGAAGCATAATGAATAATGTGACGTTACCATTTTACTACTTATTCATTATGAGGACACAAGTGAATGAAACCATCCTGGCTACAGTGTGGAAGTAAACAGTGTTTCAATTGTATGTATATATATATATAAACAATATACATATATATATTATATACTAACTGGAAAATGTATGAAATAAAATGATATGTGGAAGTACGTATAATGAATAAGCAGTATAATTTTCAAATGGAATATTTCATCAAATTATATATATATATATATATATATATATATATATATATATATATATATACATACCGATAATATATACATAAATATAAAAAACACATACACACATAAACAAACACAGCAGACACCCACTCACACACACAAACACACACACACACATATATATATATATAGTTTAAATATAATAAAGTTAACAGCCACTTATAACTTTGCATAAACTAAATTAAAAACAAACATTAATAAAAAAAATATCTCTTCATAGGCCGAAACAAAATAAAATTAAATATCGTTTATTAATTCACCATGATTCATGGGGCACACCACCACCTCGAACCGCAACGTGACCATTTAAAAAAGACCGCAATCTCGTAAATTGTTCTTGATGATGATATCCGTGACGGCTTGGAAAACGAACTGAACGTTCGACGTGTCGGTGGCACAAGTGAAGTGCGTGTAGACCTCTTTTATGTCCCGCCTTTTGTTCAAATCTTCAAATTTTTTCTGTATGTAGGCGCCTGCTTCCTGGGGCGTGTTCCTGCCTGTGTGTGCGGTGCGTGTTTGATGTCGACAAATAAATAAACTGTCTTCAGTGTGAAATCAAACAAAAAGGAAAATAATAAAGATGACCGCAGATATTGCAAACTAATTAGAGGGAAGAAAATATGTTAACAACAACAAACAACACACGTTTAGACGACATTTTCCCCGAGATCGGGGGTTGCCGTTTGGCTACCTATGATGAAACCGAAATACCCCTCGACGCCATCCACATCTGTCACTCGCCTCAGTATCACGCAACCCCGCTTTCACCCTGTCCCTCTCCACCTGCTCTCTCCATCCCAATCGCGGACGACCCCTTCCTACCACTTCTTCAACCTCGAACTCCAACGCTCGCCTAATCCCGACCCTTTCATTCCTTCTCAACAAATGTCCATACCACCGCAATCTCGATCTCCCTATCAATGTCACAATGTCCTCATTCAGTCCCATCATTGACATCAGCTCTGTACTACTCCTCCTATCCTTCACTTTAACCCCACACATCATCCTCACCATAACATAAGAAAATATGTTAATAATTTATAATGGAATTATTTGTTATGAATAGTTTTTCAAGTTAAGACATTTCACAGTGAGGAACCTTTGTATTCTGGAAAGCAGAGGGCCAGCGGAGATGTCTTGATTTTAATATCAAACAGGTCTTTTTTATTGAGGAACAAAATGATGGAAGTGTTGCTGAACCATTTGTTGTTGCATATGGAATCAAACAACTTCATGCTTTCAGTCATGCGGTTCTGTGCAGTTCATTAAAAAAATTAAATAATGAAAAACATTTGTGACCACCGGAATAATAATTTTGCCAGAATGTTATTCTATTTGCTTACATTTGTTGCATAACATATTTTCAAAAATGTTGGAAATAGTTAAAATTTGTTGACCTATTAAGAAATAAGCGTGAAAGTTATAATGGTCAATTAGTATTACACCAAATTTCATTGAATAAAAGTGCATTCACAGCATACTTAACAAAAGACGATCCTGGAAGTTCAACAGGCATGTTGTTTGTTCTCTGAACATTAGCAAGATGAACTCAATTTGGGTCAAAAAAATTCAACTTAACTTCAGAGAAAGATCATAAAAAAAACAAGGGGACTGCTGGAAGATTAATTTGGCAGGGGCACTTCAACAATTTTAACAGATCATCCATTCTTCATCATCAAATAGTACATGGCATCATACAAAAGATGGCAGCAATTTTATTCACATTCTGTTTTTATATCCAGCCTTAAATATTGTAATTATTTTCTATTCTCATTACATGCAAACAAACCATTTCCTGGTCTTCTGCCAGCATGAGGTCGTATTCGTTGAGGGCGACCAGGAAGATGATGGCAGTGACCCCTTCAAAGCAATGAATCCACTTTTTTCGTTCTGACCTCTGACCTCCGATGTCAACCATTCTAAAAAATTAATAAATGATTAATAAATGTTCTTGTGTTTACATAATAAATAATACCAAGCAAATTTTCTGACAAGATGTTTTATAAAAAAACGTTGAAAATAAAATAAACTGAAATCAATGAAACAATACCGACACCTGTTCCAAACAATTATTACTATTGTTATTATTATTAATTATTACTACCTACGTCGGACCCGGGCGTAGAAAATGTTTCATAAGAATCAGATAAGGAGGACTATATTAAAACAAAAAATATGCATACAAAAGCGTTAAATTAATTAAATTTTTTTACTCGATGTAATTGATTTTCTTAGTAAAATTTCTTCACGCTTATGTTTCAAAACACACTGAAAGGAAATTATGTGATTGTATCCATATTGTCAGCATTTATTTTCAGTATTAAAAAATCATTGCATATCGCTACACATATTTATTTATCTTCTAAAAAAAGCAATCTTAAAAAATTTTCATAATAAAAAATAGTTTTTTTTAAAATTTATAACATTTCCGGAGTGGGAGTCAGATGAAAATTTTTAACCCTCAAGAAGGAGAATGGCTAGACGTGATCAAATTATTAACTGCCTTATAAGCACCTTTTAGAAATTTTGAGTAAGAATGCTGTCTTAATAATAATAGCAATAGTAACATAATAAAAAGAAAATAATGTGTTCGTGTGCTTACTTGAAAGAAAGTCCTCTTAAATTAAAATGTGTTTCAACGATGCCTGTGGTTTTAACTCTAGTTCTCAGAACATCTTGTATGGTTGGTCTATAGTTAGGCTGAGATATGCGATCAAGAGCACCAAGAAAGCTGGTGGATACAAAATAATTCTCACTGACTAGATATTTTCAAAAATTGAATTTATTTGAAGTACGTTAAATACATAAAATGAACAAACTATTCAGCAGAATCGTTTAGCTGATACTCTCTAGATCTTTTGAAGCAATTCTGAACTCCTCCATCTTTCCATAATCTTTTCATGATTTGTCCCAGTTCATAAGTCAGGATGACATCGTTCATACTGCTCACCATTGCATAGAAATCTCTTGCATCTTGCTAGAAAATTGTATCATCATGACAATATTATTGCACTAATTAATACTCAACAGTTCAATTGGTATGCAGTTTAGTCCAGACAGTGCACATGTTGTGTCTAAGACAGAGTTATTGATCCTTGACGCTGTTTGAATGCTTCTGCTGGTGCGAAACTCAAAGAATTTCATAAGCCAGGTGCATGAGGTGCAGTTTAATTTGCAATGAAAAAGAGGAAAACACATAACAAAACGTCATGGGAGTTGAATAACAAATGAAGGATAAAAAGTGCTGTAACTTCTATCATAAATATGATCTAATATGAACATGACACCGTGAAGCGATCTATGTTAGTGGAGTGATGAAATTAATATTTACTTGTCAATTTTTACAATTGTGAAAAAAAACTCGACACCATTTAAATAAAATTATTCAACTAATCAGCCTTTTATTTTTATTCAATAAAGAAAATATCATGTTATAAGACCAACCATTCTTTCTTGGTTACTAAAGTCAATTTTCAAACTGCCCATGGCCTGTATGATGGCAACCAAACTCTGTATTGTGTTGTTATGCACGACTGCTTGATATGACAAGCATTCTTCTTCTGTGTACCCATTTTCATGAATTATTCTATCAAAAAAAAGTAATTGGTTTCACGAATAAATAAGATTTAAGATAAACTTAAATCTTATGCATCAATCACATTTGAAGTTTGCAATAAATAAATTTTAGCGAGTTGCAATCAAACAAATTAATCATAATCTCTTCGTCGATTCAACTTTCAGAACTTCATCCACCTTTCATTTTGGTATTAGACTAGCAAGTATTCAGTGGAGGATCTAGGGAGATGCAGGGATACATGCATAGTGGGGGACTAGACTATGAAAGAAAATATTGAAAATTCTGTGTGTAGTAATAAAGTAAACGAAAATTTGCAAAAAAGCCATCAGCTAAGAATTTTGATAATCCTGCCTTTTACCAAAACGGGAATAAACGAAAATCATGAAAAAAAGGTCATTAACTACTTAAGAACTTTGAAATCATTTGCCCATCAAAAAATTCTGGATCCGCCACTACAAGTATTAGTGTGAAGGCAAGAAGAAGTTGAAGATATCGTGTGAGAAGAGGTTTCAAGCAGTGGTACTATTTTAACTTATTTGCAAGAAAAAGATGTTTAAAAAGAAAACCTTCAACTGTTAAACCCAAATGAAAATCAATTTTCATTAACACAAACTAAAATAAAACTATAACAACAAATTATATTTTGTATTAAAAAAACAATTAAGTAACTTCCAATATCTTTCTAAAATCATTAAAAATAATAAATTCTCTTAACTAGGAAAATCACCAGTGTGCTGTAATAGAAAATACACAAAATACCAGCAGCATTATTGATACCTAACCTCCGTCAAAAGTAATAGTCATTCTCATAAATTCCAAGAATTGACATTAAAAAAAAAGAAGACCTGATAAATTCAATTGAAAGGCAAATAACTGTAATTGCTTTGCAACTAGCAATTTTTTTAATTTTGAAAAAGCAACTAGTATCTAACAAAATTATCGTTAATTAACTAATTTAACTCAAATAAATAGTATATTTAAAAATAACAATTTAAATTATGCTTGCTAACTTTATTTGTTTTACAAATGTGCTCTTGCCAGATTCACCAGCACCTGCAAAGTTTATAACAACATCAATAAAAACCAATAAGAACGAAAATAAAAAATGTCGATAAAATTTTTCCAAAAAGCGGGCACATATTACGGACGAACCGAGAAGAAGCAGCTTGACTTGTCTCACAGAATCCTCCTGTTCATTTTTCAGTTGGAGGTCAATTTGCTTCGAACGTTCAATAGCCCTTTTTCCATCTTTACTATGGAAACATCCCATTATTGCATTTACAGTTTCAATAAAATTTTAATTCTCGATTTAAATTAAAATTTTTTTTAGGTCACTTGTCTTTACAACAGAAGTTAGTTTATTAAATTAAAAATGTCTTGTTATAAAATAAATAAAAATCCATTTCTTTTCTATTTTATTACGCATTCAGATGAGTTCAATAGGAGTCTGTACCTTTAATTTGGAAAAAATTTAACAAAATAAATAAGATGAAAGTTAAAAAAAATTATAAAAAATAAACTATTTAAGCGAAAACAAAAGAGCAAAAAAAAATGATGCCTACTACTGCTGTCATTTCAATGCAACCATTTACAAGGAAAATCTTACGGTAGGGAGATGTAATAGTGGTTAATATTTTTTTATAAAATAAAATAAGCTACCAAAAATTGTAAACATTTAGGCAAACAAAACATATTATTATTATTATAAACCATCCTATATAAACAATCCCTCAGAAGCCCTCTAAACACTGAATAAAACATCATCAACCAAAGCACAATCTGTTTTCTTACAAGGCAGTTTACTTTTGTTGGTTGTTATTCCTGTTGAATCCACATATTTATGCCATGACCTGTCTCTGGTGATAACTTTTGAATGGATGGTTGTCATCAGTACGGCATAAATTAACGTTAGCACTACCAACCCTTTTTTTTGTTTAGTTAACCATATGAATTCCTTGTTTACACAAGATATTGTGCTTTTATTTAAAATTAAACAGCGTACTTATCTCAGCCAGCCTGCAAACAAGCTGTTGCACATTCATTCATTCAAATAAATTCCTGTTTCTTTAACCAACCAAGTATGGTTTAAGATCCCTCACCACAGGCTTGTACTTCAAAGTCCTTTAAAAACACTGTCAAAACTTTATGCATGCATTACAATCATCTTCAAAAATAGACCTAATTATTAGATCTAAGGGCCTCCCAAATTAAAACTCTTTCACTTGAGTCTTCAACTTGAAAACTCACAATCCCAGCGTTATAAAATGAAGCTGAACAGGTGGAAACATTGAAATCTCACAAAAACATGACTGTTTTTTCAAAATTTATTTGTTAGCCATCTTTCAAGGAAGGCACAACAAATATGTACCACATGTACATATGCTTGTATATAATGTGTCATTGACTTCCAGCTATCACCACTTCCAGCATTCAATGTAATAAATGACCAAATTTAAGTAAAAGTTGATAAGCTTCATTATTTTCTCTATCCCCCCAAAAGCTGGTTTCTGTAACTAATTGGAACATAAATTCTACACAATGCATGCTGATAGTAAGCACAATTAATATTTTTAAAATTCTTGATAAACTGTAAAATAATCAACAAATCTTCCATATTGCAATTTCTTGACAACTGTTATCTATACAATTTGAAGGTCAGTAAACAAAATGCTTATAAAAAAATTTCCATATGAGAAGCATCAAAGAATGTGAAGTGAGATAGATGACGTACAGTATTTGTAAGAAGTGTACTGCAACAAAGGTATTTATTGTTTTAAGCTCTATCACTAATTGTGATGAATCAAGGTTGGTTAGAATTCATTAACAAGTATGCTGTGTTGCACTGACACATTCCAGCAAACAAACAAATTCCCATTCAAGCATACATAAATTCAATCAAGCACATGTAATGTACTAATAAATGATATGCAAACATGCATGCACTGCAGTTATTTTTCCATTAACAACTGTAATGTTGGTGATTAAAACATAATTAACTAATTAAGATAGTCACATTAACATATGTTCCAAGAAATATAAACATGATTTTCTTCACTTGACATCAATTCACACATTTCAATGCATGCTCATCTATATATAAACACATTTACATCTACACTCTGAAAATATTCTTATTCAAAAACTTTTTCCCGATTGAGGAAGGTAAAGCCATGATTCATGAGTCTGGTATACGTCCGATATTGGAATGAAGCACCACTAGGAATCAGAGCCTCTTTCAACGAAATCCACCTCTTGTCTGTACTAAAAAAGTATCTCAATCAAACAGTAGAAACAACATTACAGGCAGCATTTTGTAATCATTAATGGTTTCTGTCCAAGCATTTGGTGGAATTAGCATTGTTTGATGATCAGAATGATGCTGCTACAAAGACACAGATGGTACTCAATCTCTCTCAGTAGGCCAAGATTACCCAATATTCCTCAATTTGGCAACAACATGTCAAAAATTAAAGCTGGAATTTCTAGTGACAGAAGCGAGTAGTTTCTTGTATGACCTTCTTATTAAGAATGGCAATCTTTCTAAGCAAATCGCCAGACACGTGCCCAGAAAACCCAAATTTCAAAGATCTGTGGAATCGGGCTAATGTCATGAAAGTTGTCAACGATTTGGCAGAAAAAAATATTAGCCTTCTGCAAGAATACAATCGTCACCTAACAAAAGATGAAGAGCAGTTCCAGTTCATCCTGCATCTGCTGTCGAATTACTGGAAATGAATGACCAGTTCTTCAAAAGCTATATTAATTGACATTATTTGACTGATAAACATTGCCTTTCAGCGGTGAAATTTTGAGTAACAATTACTTGGATATAGTGTCATAAAAATATCAGCTTGGAGAAAAGGTACGTTTAGTTTTTCAATTTTTCGGACCACCCTAATGTTCACGTACACACCACTTACAAAGATATAAATAAATGAACATGTAAAGTGTAAATAAGCCTATTTATTGAATGACAAACCATGTTCAGTTCTTGTATATATTTTTATATATGATCATTAACTATCTGGCCAACTATCCCACAGTGATATTCTGCCGGAGCCTAAGATTATTAAAGAGTGTTATTGAAAGTATTTTTAAGTGATAAAAGGTTGTATAATTTAATCTTAAAAATAAAATCAAAGTTTATTAATACATTAAGAAAACGTTTATTTCATGACTTCCATAATAGTTATTGTTATAATATATAGTCTATTACTCTATAAATAAATAATCTATGTACATATAATTATAATAATATAATTATTCATAATTTAATTAATTAAAATTTTAAGCTGTAAAAAGTAAATGTGTAAAGTATTATTTATTAACATTTTAAAACTAATAAAATAATTAGTCACATTTGCTATTGATTGCATAAAAAATTATAAATAAATGAATATATAATTATTATTAATTATTAGGCTACTATGCATCTATGTACAATTGTACATTGTTATGTTAGTTAATTTAATATTAATTAACTGTTAAATCAAATAAAGTTCACAAAGCACAACTGACTGGACCATGGATAAGAATTAGTTAGCCTGTTAGCAGAAGCAGCTACAAAAATTTAGTTATTAAAAATTAAATAAAATAATTACATAGTTTATTTTACAAAACATTCACTTATTAACCCGATAAAAAGTTCATCAGACAGATTTTCGAAAACAAGATAATATAATATTTAAAAATTAAAATAAACTTTAAAATGCAAGATTTATTTATGTACCGAAAACAAATTCTAACTTTTACTTTACTTTACGGTCAAAAATTCAAACAAAGTAAAAAGCCCGGAATTTTGCAGGTGTGTTTTGTTATCTTTGTTTCACTTGTGAAGTAGACAAAGGCAACTGAAAAATAACTTTTACTGAAAAATGTTTCTTTTAAATCGAAATTGTTTAACAAATTCTTCACAATATCATTATAAAAAATTAAAAATCTCAAAAGCTATCTCCCAGATAAAAACGTTTCTATAGCAACAAAAAATGAATTAACGCACAACCATGGAGTATATAGGAGTGATTGGGAGTGATCCGTTCCACGGTATTTCATACTATGCTGGTGCTATCCAATCGTATTTTTCCCACTATAAACTTTACTGGAAGCAGGAGCAGCATTAACGTCATGCATCTATTACAAATGATGCTGAAGAGAACCTCATGATATATATATATATATTTCTGTTTTTGATTTGTGCATATATATATATGATTTCTGCAAAACATATATATATATATATATATATATATATACATACATACATACATACATACATACATACATACATACATACATACATACATACATACATACATACATACAATAACATACCGTGAATGTTAGTTAGATTTGTAGATTTTGTTAATTTTAGAAGCATGGAATCTTTTGGCTGCAATGTTTATTCAAAATTAATAATAATTACAATTACTATATAATTGGCAGTGATGTTGAAAAGAAAAATTACTCTTTTAAATCGCCTTCAAATTCAAAGCTAACATAAACTAACAATATATCCATATTAGCTACATCTGTGCTTTCATCGAGCTGCAAAGAAAAATACTTCGTTGTTCTATGAGCTGTAGCTCTAGGTCTTCTGCAATTTCACTAATGCGACAATTTTTTGGTGGCCTGTTCACCAAACATCTCAAAACAAACATCTTTGAGGCAATCTTTAATTATATATATGTATGGTCCGTTATGGTTAATATATCACGCATGAAATACTATTTCTTGCTCACTTTCACACTCTAACCATGTTTTTTTAAACAGCTGACCACCCTCACATATATACTTATCTCGCCAATTTAGAACAATGAATCTCATTATTTGCAAAGATCATTCTGGCTCTCGCGCTCTCACTTCTATTCTTATCTCACCAGTACTAATTAATGAAATTTTCTTTGTGTTGCTGGTCAAATCTTATTTTTATTTTTTCCTTTTGAATATTTTAAAAAATTTTGGGAGCTCGCCGCGGACCGGCCACTTTGAAAAGCACTGAATTAAGGTAGCCAGAAATAAGCGCACACTAAAAAAGCGCACACGATAAAAGCTTATATTTAATATAAATTTTATGAAAAATAATAAAACAAACACTGTTAATAATAAATAAATAATTGAATGTCAATCGTAAGGAAAATTTGTTAAATGGTTTCCATGAAATTAGCGCACAGGAAAAACTACGTGCGATTACGTACCCATGCATTAGTATCCGTGTGCGTTCACGTTGATGTGCGCTTACGTACCTATGCATTAGTATCCGTGTACGTTCTTGTTGATGTGCGCTTATTTCCACGTGCGCTTTTTACAGACATAAAGCAGCTTAATTTGAGATAATATAACGTGTAATTAATCAGAACATATAATACTTTGTATTATATGAAGAATGCGGTGACATTAGGGACTGACTGGTATATAATAGGCGAGCAAACGAGTTGAGTAGGAAGAGTTATCTTAGTTAAGAATTAGAGTTATCTCTTTTACACATTATTATTATTTGCATTTTAATTCTTTATCTAAATTTTGTTATTTTGATATAGAAAATACATTTAATTACAATTAAAACAATAAAATATTATTAACAATAATGGGCGAGTCGTTTCTCGTTTGATTTTTTAAACTTTATAACATTTTAAACACTAACTAATACTCAAAACACGTAAGTCGCTAATTAAAGTCATCTCTCATTATTTTATGTACGTGAACAATTTTGAGTTATTTAACGTTGAGCGAGCGAGTTTACAGAAAATTTTCCCTAGAACAAACTATGTTGTTTGTTCGGTAACCGTCGTAGAATGGTGAAGAGTGGGCATATAACAATATTTACTATCACTCTCCGTTTTTAAAAACTATTCAAAAACATTATTGAGACTGGACTGCATAATATCTCTGTTTAATCAACTACTTATAATTTTATATATTCAAATAAGAGTATATTGTCGCTGACAGTTGTAACATAATTTATTTATCTATCAAGAACAATAGAGGACTGAGTCCACCTTCTTGAGGCAAATCACTGGTAACTGGCAAGAATTTAAGCAATGCCCACTCAATTTAACATGGAACATACAATTAAATAGATAGTTGTATTTCTAAAATATTATTTAATCGTGCACTTTATATTTGTGCAATTTAAAAATTAATCTGTTGTGAGAAACTTTATCGAATACCTATAAGAAATCAGTATAGATAACTTCAACTGCATCGCCATCCTCCACTGCCTGTGTCATCATATCCATAAATTTAAGCTACTGCAATGTTGTTGAACGTAAATGGAAAAATCGATTTTTGAACAAAAAAAATTGGGATTATGCGGATGACCTACAAAAGAAAGACTAAAATCTGTTAACCTCTGTAGTAGTGGTTATATTTACTCATTTTAAAACTAATTTGTCAAAAACGTCGATAAATATAAAGGACGAAGACCAACGTATTTTAAAATCTTAAAATTTTGTCATTACGCATCTTTTACAAGTTGAAAATGTTTTTTTACGTAATTTGTAAATTTCTGACTGTTGCACATTTAAACTGCTTACTAAACAACCATACTAATTTACGATTAGCCGAATAAATATCCATAGAACATATAATCCGATAATAAATATTCAACAACGTGCCTTTGCAGTCATTCCAACCAATACATTTAGAAACGGAAGAATCATCGATAATGACGACACGTAAAAGTTTCATATTGCACAAAGTTGAAGATCTTAATAATTAAATAAGTGACCGTTAAGTATATATATATAATAACAATATAACACGAACAATAATAATTTTAGTTTTTTACTTAATAAATTAAATATCTATAATAAAATTTTAATTAGAAAACTTTAAAAATTAATGTATAAATATAATAATTGTATTAACGCGGTTGATTTTCTTAAAAACTGTATCGAATATGGTCTAAATCCTAATTTCACAATATATATATATATATATATATATATATATATATATATATATATATATATATACTTGAGCATTCGGCCACATGTGCAAAATACCAATTATAACACCGAAGATGTTATAGGAATACCGAAAAATCTTTTGGTTGTATGTATCATGCTTATAATAAATAAAAATTTTGGATGTGAACTCAAGAAATTTGAGAATGATTTACGATCAACCGTATGAAAAATCGAAATATTAAGCAGGAACCTAACTAACGCGGAACATACTGTGATTTTCATCAGTAATTGCATTTCTAACAGTCTTAATCCATTATAAATCAATCAATCCTTGTTCATTGTCTCCATCCGTTATGGGCCGGACTTTTTTATTCCATTTATCAATTTCTGTCTCCAAGCCGATCTATCCATTGCGTCTGTCCAAGTGCCTTTAAGTCCCCCAGTATGGTCTGCGTCCAGGACTTTTTTGGGCGACCTCTTGGGCGGGTGCCAGGTGCTTAGTAACGAAAATTATTGTATCGTTTTCGCTCAACTTCACATGGCCAAACCATCGTAGGCGATGACGACAACATGCATCCTTCAACTTGCACAGTTCCGATCGGTTCAGGATCTCGGTTGTATGGATATGGTCCCTTAGGTTAACATGCTGCATCCAACAAATCATCTTCATGTCAGTTCGGTGAAGCTGCTGTTCGAGTTTTGTTGTCATCGGCCACGCCTCTGCACCATACATTAGAACAGAACGTATAGCTGTGTTGTATAGCTCTGAGTGCAGCGGTAAAGGAATACTACGCCGCATCAGTACCGAGGCAAGAAGGCGCCATCTGCCCCACGCCGCTCGTATGCGTCCATGAACGGCAGCATCAGCATCAGCTGTTTCTGTACAATCCAGCATATCTCCCAAATACTGAAATGAAGTAACAGTTTTGATCCCGGTAATCGTATCGCTATCTGGGCTCCGTTGTGTTAGAGTAGTAGTTAGTAGTTGTCATTGAGGAGCGCTGTTGAACATCGCGGAAATAGCGCTTTATAAGCTAATTGATTGATTGATTGATTGATTGAGAGTACGTTGCCGAACCAGATATTCGGGAACAAACTGTCTACGTAGACTCCACCTGATTGCCTCACGAGGCACTCTGTCAAAAGCCTTTTGTAAAAAGTTTATTTCTTAAGCACGAGATAAACTGCAACCGCACTGCCATGTGTTACTTCCAGCCAAAAGACTAGGCCCACTGTTTAAAACTGGTGATTGTCGTTAGGAATTAAGCAATTCCAGATATAAAAATTTTTTGACCCAAACATCTCCCTGTTAAAATTTCTAAAATTTTACTAATATTAAATTTTAATGATGAATTTGGATAATAATTCTATTTTCAATAAATTTAGCATTTTCCAGAAAATTCTAGTAAGGAAAATTGAAAAAGGCAAACTTTAAATTGATTAATGCCAACAATTTAGTAGAATTCATACAATACTGTATAAAATGGTGTCTCCTTCCAATATATATATATATATATATATATATATATATATATATATATATATATATATATAGGATTAAGTCATCGACTGGAACATGAACATAAAACCAAAAAAGCTGTATACACACACACACACACACACACACACACACACACACACATATATATATATATATATATATATATATAATAACAACATTAAAATTTAATAAATTTTCTGGGTGAAAGGTTAACGTCAAAACTGTAATCACACTAGTCGAAGCAACATGACTTTTGTTTTTCTGAATGCTGAATGTTATGGAGTGTTAGGGCATCTCTTAAATTCTCCAGACCCAAGTTGATTTTTTGGTTTTTTTCCAAAATCTGTACGTAATATTATGATGATTTTAGAAAAAATATTTCATAAACCAAAATCTTTAAATTGAAAAATTATGAAACATTTAAGAGAAAAACTAACGTAATTTTAAATATTTATTAGCTATTATGGCATGAGGTAGTGTTTTTTCTAGAGTGTGGCTTCAGATAAAAAACATCCGACTCAAAAATATTAAAAATATTTGACTCCGACTCCGGCCTCTTTAAAAATTTCGATTCCGACCCCAGAAAACTTTCAACTTTTGCATCATAGTTTCATCTTATTATCACTACTAAATATGAAATGTTTTGAAAAACACTTAAAATGAGTCAATGTAATTGTCTTTCTTATTAAAATTGTATTTTTTTTTTATATTTTATAAAATACCAAAAAAATTATGTGATTATGTGATTTTATCGACATTATTAACATTTATTTTCAGTATTAAAGATGATTGCATACATATTATTTTCCAAAAACACTATCTTAAAAAAAATTTAAAAAAAGAAAAAATAATTTTTTTTATTTTTTACACAAAAAGTATTCGACTGTTTATGTTTTTGTGAAATGTAGTTTGGTATTATCCATGGGTATTTACATAACATAAGCTTATAAAGTTCCACTTTTAAAACTTATCGTCTAATTTTCGCCCATAAACTCTGCATCTGTTAAGTAATTAATCATTTTTTGGTTATTTTCGGTAGCAGCACCACTCTTCTCTCCCAGAATTTTCACTTTATGCTTGCATGTTTGCTCACTACCGGTTTAGCTGTTGTAGAAAATTTCACAATTTAATTTGATGCCTTTTGCAAGTTTTTATGGTTATTTCTGGTGGCACTCTTTTGTACCTGGCTAACCTTGCTAACCTTTTTATATGCTAGTAAACGCTATGTGTGATAATTTTATATTAAGTGTTTTTTTTTATTTCTCCGGTTTTTGTTGGAAAAACCAGAATGTTGAAGTCGGAGATTTTTGCCGAAGTAGGAACTTGCGAGAAAATCTTGCAAAAGTCGAATGCTTTTTTTGTGTAAAAAATGGATTAACAAAATAGTTAAAATAAATTAAAGTTTAACTGAAAAATTAAATTTTTACGTCACTTACGCAAGATATAAGAAATTTAATTGTTTCATCAACGTTAATGTTGTCTTTGGCAGATGTTTCAAACCAGCCTGCGTAACCCTTTGATTTACAAAACTCCTCTAAGTTCCCCGTTACGAAAGGTTCGCTCTCCGAATCTTTGTCTTTCTAGTTTTGGTATTTTATTAACATCAGAAAATGGCGCACAAATAAGCTAATACATGAAATCCTATTTACCTATTAAATTGTTAAATTAATTGATTCAAAGAATACAAAAGATGTCGTTTTTAATGTTCTATCTATCTAATTAATCTATACATTGTCTCATTTATTTGGGCATAGCTCAGGTTGAATGTCAATCGGAACAAGACTGCTTTATTGATTGTGATTAAGTGGTTAAAATATCTTCTAACCTGACATTAACATTTTCTAAATAATATAAATCAGGTCAATTTTTTATTTTGTAAAAAAATCAAAAACCTTATTGCCGACTAGTACGCAAGGTATTCTGTCTCCATTAGGCAAGGAAACTTTTTCATCCAAATCCTCCTTCCATCGATTGCAACCTTCAAATGAACTCATCTTGTTAACATCATAGACAAGGATGCATCCAACTGCTTCTTTGTAATACACTCGAGTCATGTTTCCGAAACGTTCCTGCCCTGCGTTTGCAATTTGTGGACATTTTTGAAAATGAGCAGCTCTTTAAATTATGGTAATGACAAAAGCGTATACTTCGAAAGCTCAATGCAATTACCAATATAATAAAAATTCACGTTAAACAGTGGAACATATCTAATAAAAAATAAATAAACAATAAAAGAACGATGAAGAGGATGCCAATGAAGGTAAATAATAGTGAAAGAAAAAAGAAGTGACTTATGGCAAGAAGGAAGAATGCGACTAACCCGCAACATCCCACAGCTGCAACCTCACCACTCTTTCATCATCCCATTCAATGACTTTCAACGCAAAGTCCACGCCAATCTTTTGTGATTTCGTTGATTAAAAATAAATGAATGTGTTAAGCTTAATGAATGGTTTTAAATTGAATCATTACACAAATGTTTTACATTCTAGCCATCGATCGAAAATATTCATGAAACAACATATGATCTGAAAATTCTTGTACTCAATAAAAATTATATTTTATTTGTGTTTCTTGTCTTATGCGGAATTTTTTTCTGTCAAAACATTCTACACCTTTTCACCGCAAGGCTGTCATACATATTTAATATAATTTAAAAAAATATTTTTTTAAAAAAGACTGTTCAAGAAAGTAGAAAATAACAACAACGACGTCATCCATTTTCTACTACCACCAATTAAAACTACAACACACAACCTTCGTCAGCGCAAACATAACCATCAAGTCGCCACCCAATCTACATATCAGGAAAAGACTTTCATCACAAGACACCTCAAACAAAACTTTATCATTCACACTACTAGTTTTTATTTATCACCTCACTAAGTCATCACCTAGTCTAATTTGCTTTTTATGCCATTTCTTCATTTTATTGCCATTTTCTTTTCTTTTATTTATTTTATTATTTATTTTATTTTATTTTTCATGTTTAAACATTTTTCTTTCTCCGTTTCTTTTTATTTATTTATTTACTTATTTGTTTAATTTTGTAATACTGCATTGCATGCTATAACAGTTTCTGCGTCTATCAGATCCTGATTTTTAAAGAATAATAAAAAAATTTTTTGAAAAAGTATAAGTTTAATTTTCTAATTCATTTGTCGATGAATTTTTGTAATATTCCAAAGTTAAAAAGTATGAAGAGCTTCATTTTAAATTTCCTCGCTACAGAGAACTATGGAATTTTTTTGCTTTTAAGCGTCCAATAAATCTAACAAGTTTGAAGTTTACTTCGCGATTTTCCTCAGAACCACTTTTCTTCTGTTATTGAATCAAGGTATTTCCCATTTAGTCCTTATAGTTAATTTTTACAGAAGGTTGGCTGTTGAATCAGTATAACGGTAATACACCAAACAAATATTGAAACATCAGCCAAATTTATAAAAAAAAGAAGAGAAATCGATCGCTAGAAAAACTACAAAAAAAACACAGGTTTTAATGAGAACTCCATAACAATATTTAAAAACTTTTTAAGCCTGGCATTGATTAGTAAAAGTTAATTAAACTAGAACTAGACTTAGAATAGTTAATCCTAAGTAATAATAAATAATAACCAGTAAAGTAGTTGCCAACTAAATTTATGAATTAATTTTTAAGAAGTTGATAAATTATAATAGAATAATAATAATAATAGAATGGAATAGAGAGATAGAACTTATTTAATAATTATATCATAACATTTAATTATTGATTATTTTTGATTTTAATAATAATATCTTAATAATGATTGAAAATTGCAAAAAAAACTTGTGAAAAGCTAACATACGTTTGTTAAACTACATTAATGAGTGGGAAAGTTTGAACTGAACAATTGTAGATCAAAGGAAATTTCATACTTTTGAATGATCTTCAAGAGTTTAATTTAAATTAATAAAACATGACTAGAAGCACAGATTCAAAATTTCGCGGGGTTAGTGGCGGATGATTTCAATTTTGCTAATTTCCGTACTTCCCCTTTATTCCAGTTTTAGTGGAATGGGTGATTTTATAAATTCTTAGATTGATCACCCTTTTTTCTTTTGCTAATTTTTGTCTACTTTATTACAATATTTTGTATAGAATTTTCAATATTAACTTTTTTCATTGTCTGGGGTGATACACACGCATCCTCCATCCCTGGATTATGCGTACCTACTGCACCTGACGTAGTGAACGTTTGAGTAATTGAGCACATCATACGCAAGATTTTTTGAGCACGAACTTATTTACTACAAGCGTTGTATTTTAACACGACTGACCCAACAATCAATCTTTTATAACTTTATGCTTTTTTAATTATTCTGAAAATGAAGAACATTCAATAACTAGAAAAATATCATTAACATGAAAACACTTTTACTAAATTTTTTTAAATAAATGTTTTTCAATCGAAACTGAAATCGTCTCGTCTTACATACAGTATCGAAGTAGCAGAAGTTTTGATAACAGAAAATCTGCAAACACTCTGGTAATTTGGTTGGAGCTCATGTTTTCCATTTGCACTTTAGAAAAGACAGTTTTCAAACGAAGCCATTGCAGGGTGTTCGTTAAAAGAACAAAAAAGGACATGGCCGTTAATACTGGCCAAGCGAAGCAGTCGATTTTTTAAATAACAGGGAAACATCAAATCAAATACTCAACATAAATGTCATCACCATCAAAAGCACCATATTTTTCAGCAAGACTAACTGTAGCTCGATAATGATCTGAAAAGGAATGATGAACATATCTCTTTATGAAGGATGTCTTCCCTGTGCCTAAGTCGCCGATGACCAAAACTTTGAAGAGATATTCCGTGGTTGGCTACCATGTTCAAATAAAAAAAATTCATTTTTCATTAAACCTTGCATATTTCAAATTAAACATTTTAAAAAATAGAATGATTAATATGATAATTATTTAAATTTGATCTCAATAAATTGTATAATGTAAAAATATTTTAGATTCAATAGAATAAAGAACAAAATCCTTGAGATAAAAACGTGTTGGTGCCAAGTTTTTTTGCTATAAACAAATTTTCAAAGTTGTTAATCCATTTGACGAATTTAAAAATAACGGTTCTACAATATATTGACAAAATGGATGAAAATTTTAATTAAAAAATGAACAAATAATGATAATAAAGTGAGATGAGATATTTCAACTAATTAAAATCATCAAGACATGCTTTTACTTTTCTGTCAGTTGATGACGTTGGAGCGTTGCTGATGTTGGATGATGTTGATGACGGCAATCTATTCATTATCACGTGACAGCACGATCAGTCCAACAAGAAGTTCCTCAATCAATCCAAGCCGTACTAAGTTGTCGTCTCAATAACTTTTACGACTCAACTGCTCAAAAAATGTTGACTTTTTTTACTTAAAATGTTGAAAAAAAATATAAAATCAAAGTCCCTAATTTTAATCGTGTGTGTTTGAATTATAATGAAAAATATACTATCTGGCAAACAATAGCTAGTTTATTGCTAAATGTTAAACCTACCACTCACAAACACATTTAAATTGCGTACAAACGCCTAAAAATTGTACAATGGAATAAGTGTACGATGTTAAATGCAAATCAAAAACTGGAATGCGTTTATATTTCGGTAAGCCTTACTACCTTTTTCTGTTGAACCAGTAGGAGAATGTTTTAAAGCCCGATGAAAAAGTACAATGAGATAAATTTACGTAGACTTATGTTCACGAAAATTTATATATAATAAAAATTAAATTAAATTACAAATATTATCTTATATACTAACGATTCTACAGGACTACTTAGCTGCTAACATACGAATATTTGTATGCACGCATCTATATGCGAATAAATAAAATATATATATATATATATATATATATATATATGTGTGTGTGTGTGTGTGTGTGTGTGTGTGTGTGTTTAAGTGCATGTGAGCCATCATGTCTGTTATGACATTAAAGAAAAAACAGATTCTAAACTTTAAACAATTCAAGAAACCATCACCCTACACTGCAAGAAGAAGATTTTCATGCTTTGCCCTTTCATCAATGGCTTATTATTTAAACTATATAGAATATACTGCACTGCTTCAAAAACTTTTAAAAACAATAACAAATCAAACGATTTTTTCAATTTATAAATTTGAATCAATTTTATTTAAACTAATCGAAAAAATCCCCAATATTTAAAAATGTTTAAAAGCAGCGATTGTACAGAGTGAAATACGTTAAATAGCAATTATGATCGTGCGTTGGGTGCTTTAGTTAAAAAACTAGCACAATAGTAGCTGAACTATAATTGGCCTGTTGGTAATTTCCATTCATTGTCATGAGATAATTAATTTCTATTATTTTGAAACAAAAAAAATATATTAATTCTATTTCAAAAAATAATAAGATAATAAAAACATTAGAAAATAATTTTACACTTTTTCTTTAACTCAGACAGAGAAACAGACACGCACACACACACACACACACACAAACACACATACATATATATATATGTGTGTGTTTGTGTGTGTGTGTTGGAAAGAGACCATATTTTACACAGAATTGTATGAATTCTACCGAATTGTTGGCATTAATCAATTTAAAGTTTGTTTTTTCAATTTTCCTTACTAGAATTTTCTGGAAATTGTTCAATTTTATTGAAATGAGCTCGTCTATGATGGTAACAGCTATTTCGCATGTGTTCCATTCATCTAATAGGTTATTCAGCGTAGCTAATATATGTGGAATTTTATTTTTTTTGCCTCTAACTCCTGGAAAAGATGAAACAATCGCTGCTTACGGTGAACAATTTCCAGAAAATTCTAGTAAGGTAAATTAAAAATACAAACTTTAAATTGATTAATGCCAAAATTCGGTAAAATTCATACAATACTATATATATATATATATATATATATATATATACATGTATATATAACTATATATTACCAACATAACTATATATATATACCTATTATGTTATAACCTTAACTTAACATATTCTTATTAATCTTTACTATTCTCTCATATACCCTTATCTCTTGTATGGAATTATTATTTGTGGTCGTTAGATTGAATGTCATATGTCAGTACAAACTGGTTGACAAAATTTTTTTTATTAGAATTTTTTATAATTTAAAATATTGACATTTCGTTTTATTTTTAACAGTCTGGTTTGTTATCCATTAATCAGTTGCATATATTAAGAGTTTTATTATTTTTTTTATAAGCTAATTGTTTGAAATATATATCCTCAGTTTTACTCTTCTTTGGTGACTTCATCTTCGGCTGCTGTTCGTGGGTTGCGTCATACGTCGGTGTATCGTTCCATTCTGTATTGCATTCTAATTTTATATTAAATGTTGGTGTAATGTTGTGGGAATAGCTACCATTTGATTCGAAGTCGGGTATCAGCCCGGGAATGTTTAAGAAAAGAGTTTTTGAATTGTTGCTAGCTAATTATTTCGTGTAGTTTTCGGTTCATTGGCAATAACTTCATGTATAAGTTTTTTCTGTTTTCGTGTATTTATTTGACTATCTTTTGGAATTGTTTTATTATTGTGATTTTTTGAAACATGCAAGCCCATAATGGGCTTAGTCTGTGTTTTAACATAAATAAATATATATATAGTTTATTATAAAAATATTTTTCCTGAAAAATTCTGAGGTAAGTAAAAAGACGTAGTCAACTTTTCCGAAGCTGCCAAATCTTTACACAAATAGCCTCATAGCATACCCGTTATATTAACATTTAAAAAAAATTTTTTTTTTATCTATACGCTTCATCATGAGCACCAGCCATTTTCTTATTAATTTTAATAAATTGGATAATAATTATAAAATTATTGTTAGAAATACTGAAAATATTCAACCGTAAACTTTCAAAAGCTAAAAGTTCGGTAGATTTATCAAATATTGCATCAATTATGGTATCCTTCCAGCCATATATAAATATTATTGTACAAAAATATCACTTCTTTTTTTAGCTTTGATCAGTTTTCGGTTAAATTTTTCAATATTTCGCACCGTATTTTTTGTTTTTCAACTTATTTATATAAAAAACAATGTTTTAAACCACTTTTTCTATTCATTTTTTTCTGGTCTACAAATATTTTTCTACTGATTTAGTTTCTTTATATATTTTATTTTTAATCACGCCTACCTGCACACGTGTAATGCCTAATTACAAACTAAGAATAGAGATGACAACAAAGAAACAAAATCGTTTCGCAGAATTATACAGTATTTTTATATATTCGAAAGTATAATATAAAACTATTCAACTCAAATAAGAAATTGAAACCTACATACATTACATAAATTTACAACTGTACATTTTAACCAATTTAGACAAATACAAAACAAATAACGCTAAGAAAGAAAGTTCTGTGACAATAATTTATAAATTTTCCTATACAATTCATTACACGAAAGCCATTTCAAGGCCTGCCCCAAATGCAATGCATAAAATAATTTATAAAAAATTATAAAAAATGATAGAATTGAATTTAATTCAACATAAATAAATTATTTGAAGTCACCTGATTAAAATGAGTTACCATATATATCTAAATGAAGAATCTGTTGTTAAAGTTTTATTTAGGTCGTTATGGTTTGATCCATTTAGTGAATGAATAAATTGGACTGGTGTCAAAAATTAAAATTCATCATATGCCTCCTCATGCGAACTCAACCAACAAAACAAAAGATTATAAATACAGCAGAGTAACAACACTGTCACAGATTTCAACAATAATTAAACTTATTTTACCTAATAAAAAATTGTATAAAAAATTACTGAAACAAATTACATATGGTTTAAAAACTAAATATCACTGTGACTTAAGGTTTAGGCTTTTGGTCTAATGTTTGCTGCTGTGCACTTGGCTGAGGTGGTTGTTGGAAATTTTGCTCTTTCAGCAGTTCATGTGACTGAACATTTTGTTGTGACGCTGCTGATGTTTGCTCTATTGGTTGTGCAGATGTGTCTCCTTGTTTGCCAGTTGGATCGGGTATTTGGGGTTCATGGTACAATTGTTGTTGTTGCTGTTGAAGCTGTTGTTGCTGCTTCTGTAACTTTTTCGCTTCCGACACCTGTCTCTCTTTTCTCAGCGTCTTCACGATGTCAGCCATCTTCTCAGGACCAATCTTTAAGTTTTCACCTCCCAAAAGTTCCATGAACTGTCAGCATTTGAAGAGTTGATATGACATGCAATACTTTAGAAGGAATAAATTTCAATGTGGAATGTTGAAATATAACAATGCTGATATCGTTAGCTTTTAGTAACTTATTAATGATTGTAAGTAGCATTAGAACCAAGTGCAAAAATTTTCTTCAAAATAAAAATAACTTACAACACCTTTAAAAGCAATGCTAACAAAAATAATTCAGCCTATCCAAAAAATTTTCTCTTTAATATGAACAAAAATAGATGGTTAATTATGTTGAACATGTGTTCCTTTAAAAATTATGAAAAGTTTTTTTTATCAAATGATCAAATTACAAAGAATGAAGAATTTGTACCAGCACACAGTTTACATTAAGATTAATTGAAAAGTATTAAGAAAACTGAAATAAAATAATAGTAAAAAATAACAATATAAACGAAATAAACTGAAATAAAATACAAAAGAAATTGATTAAAAAGCGAACCCTGGAAACTTCTTGGTAGCTGATAAGACCATCCTGGTCTTCGTCCAAAATCTTTGTGATCATCTCATACTTAGACTGTGATTCAGGATCTTTCTTTAGAGACTCAAGAGCTCCAATGAGTTCGGACACAGTAACCATAGTTTCTCTTGAATTTTGAAAAAATTGAGTAATTTGGAGAGACAAAGACAACTAGTAAAAGGTAATATGCATGAATAACATCAACTATAAAAGTTATCCCAAAAAAGTTTCTTGATCTCTTGATAAACATAAATTACAAAGCTTCCAGCAACAAAACACCCCTCACTCACTGTTTCTCGAGCATTTCTTTTGCACTGAGATCTGGAACGTTGTCTCCCAAACGACCCCCGCTTACATCCATGAAATCCTTCAACTTTTGCTTGTTGAGAACTGCCTGATCATCTACAATTTCAACAGTAGGTTGTTTCTTCTTCTGAGTTTCAGCGGCTAATGTTTCTACCGTTGAGTCAAGTTTTGCAATCATTTTCTCAACTTTTTTTGTCAATCTTTTAGCAGCTTTAGATTCCTCGAGACCAACTAGAGGAGTTTCTCCCATTGTTGCTGATGACTCAATGACACCTTTCAACTGGTCAATGTTCTGGTTGGTTGAAAAAATGATTACAAACCAGTCATCATGAAAGTGGTCATTAGCCGTCAAAAATAATTATAATTATTAATGTTTTAAACTTAATCTGAGGAGTATTAATTTTTTAAAAATTTATAAAATAATTTGATTCACCAGAAAATATTTTTCTGAACATGCAAAAACCATCAGAATCACTCCATGTTAAAACAAATGTAGACTACGTTATAAAAGGATAATAATAAAAAAAATGCAGAATTACCAAATGATTCCCATTGAAACAATATTATATTTAACACGCCACCATCTCATCAGGCATTCAGCAGACAAACCTCTTTATATTCTGTAAACTCTTCCTTCAAGTTCTTCAGCTCCTCAACCTCAGCTGTAAGCTTCGATTTGGAGTCTACGACCATCTCCAGCACCTGCTCCAACTTCTCGAGGTCTTTTGTATGGATTTCCTCCTTAGCAACTATTTCGTGCAAGCATCTAATATTAAACTATAAAAAATTTTGCAAATTCACAACAGACACTGATTGCAAGTTTAGTTGCTGATATGTCAGCCATACCAAAAATATTTCTGCTATTGCTTTCTTCCATTAGGAGCTGGTTTTCAGTTTACGTAGAAATATAAACGCGTTGAACTTGTACAGATTATCCATAACATGATGCATTGTTAATAAGAAGGAGCAACAAAACATTTATATCCATAAAGTTGAATTTTAAAATGAAATGATTTGAAATGTGATGAATAAATAAGATAGATAGATAAACGGTCAAGTTAGACAGACAGACAGACAAACCAATATGATCAAGAGAGGCAGCCTTGTCAGGTAGAACCTCCTGTCCTGGTTTCGATATTGTGGTCTGAACAACTTTTGCAGAAGCTTCCTTCTATAAGGCCAAGGCAACAGAAAGATTAGTAAAAATAATGTTGTGACATACTTGCTGATACTAGAGATGCACCGAATCTAACCAAAGATAGATTCACTATTCGACCGATGGCCGAATACCGAGAGTCCAAAATATTTTTGAAATTTTTTTTCAAAAATGAAAAAACAAGTCATTGAAAAAAACAGTAGACGATTCATTTTTATCAAACAATTTTTTATCTTGTTCAATTTCAGATGTTTCAATAGCTAAGATATTCATAATAAGTAATAATAAAAAATAATAACTACATTATTCTAAAGGTAAAGAAAAGTAATGACTAAAACGGAAGTTGTAATATTCAGCTTTTAAAAATGGTCAAAACAAAAGCCAAACCATAAATTTTGGCCAAATACTCGGTGCACCCCTAGTTGATACTGTGAACATTGATTAAGTCAAGAATGACAGCATTTACAATAGCAGAAACGCATTTGAAACGATACCAGCAAACAGCAAAACGAAAAAAAGAATAGCGACCTCTATGTATTCATTACTTAACTGAGTATTCTTCCGTTGGGCTTAGCTTATTGTAAGAATGAACAAATGAGATCTGTAATCTAAGAAATACCAAATAAGCTATATCTAGATCTCACATCCAACCTTGAAGAACTACATCGCTAATGAAGGTAATTAATGTTATAAAGCACTTGCTGATTCAGTGCATCAGTAGCAAAATACAGAAAAGCAGTCCTTATCAACTTATATAGGTAAATAACAGTCTTATAATGATCATCAACATTTCCACAGTTATCATCATCATTATCACAATCACCACCATCATCCTTATAATCATTATCACCTCTTTCACTCCTTCCACTTCCATCTTCTCCATTTTGATGAGCATTTCTTCCTGCTTGATGACCTCCAGTTTGGATTTGTTGTCCACTCTGTCACCTGTCTTCTCCAATATTTTCACTTTCGCTTCCTCCGTCTAATTAAATGATAATTATTTTTAACAGTAACTATGCTTGCTAATAAAAACACTTTATAAAAAAATTAAATGACAATAAATTTCTGGAAAAAATGGTTTCGTCATTTCACAACTTTAAAAGCATTAGCAAAATCATGTACAATCTATGTGCTGGTTACACAAACACACACCCACATACAGACACACGCACACAACACACACCGACACATACGCACCCTTATACAATAAAAATCTGTTAATTGGATCAACTAGCCACTCACTATGTTGTCCCATGAAAAGATCAAAGCATTTTTTCTCTGGTTTGACTTGCACATATTAAATACATTGCGGCTTATTTATGACTGATTACATTACGTTATATGAGATGTAAATTGCATTGCTAAACTGTGAAGTGTTTGATGTTCAGATATCCGGATCATGACGTTGTTGATACTTTAATAACATCTAATGGCTAACATCGCTATTTTAACAAGTCGATCACAAAAACCTAAGACGAGGAGTGTTAACAGTCAGGAATTGAAATGTAGTGCTACCAGTGACTCCAAGAGAGCAGAGTTTCAAAACTAACAAAAACAAGTGACTTATGAGTCTCACTAACTTCAAAAACATTAACCATATGTTAATTTGACCTACTATGCATGCAACAATATATTTGAAGAATCAAAAAATGATAAGATAACTGCTATGATTAAAATCTTCCAACCAAACACATACCAACACAACGGCATCAACATATATTGAACATGACTGAAGTGAATATGAATGATGTATGAAAATGAATGAGACACCAACCAGTGTTTCTGGTAGAGCAAGTATGGTTGCTTTAAGTTGGTCCTCTGTAGAAATATGCTCAGGAAAGTATAGCGTCCTTGAGAGCAGCAGCAGAGAGGTGGGTATCTTCATGTTGAGGTGCAGGTCGAGCCACTGCAGCAGTTGAGACTTCAATCTTTCTTCGGGCACTCCAAATGATCTCATGCCCCTCTGTCTAAAATTTTATTGTATTATTATCTGTATCATCCAAATCTGTATCATCAATATGATATCAACAAATGTCATCAAGCATCCATTCAATCGGTTCTGAGGTCTACAGCTAGACTGCTACATGCTGTGACATTTAGAGACTCGACAAATTAGTAGCCATAGCTGACTACACCAAAAAAAGAACTTCATTGGCTATCGATGGAGGACAGAATTCAATTCAAAATAGTTCTCATAGTAAAAAACCATCTAACTGGAAAAGCACAAGTTCATTTGAAAGAGATGTTAGTTTCAGTTTTGAATGTTCCTGAATAAAATTGACTGTAATAAGAGAAACACTGAGATTTCGTCAGTCCTTCGTAACATCTCATATAAGAACAAGGATGTTTTCAGTTACAAGTGAATTCAGTGAATTGAAAGTAAATAGTGAAATCAGTTGTGAGATCTTCAAAAGCCTCTTGTAAAGTCATTTCTTCAACAGAACGAAGCCCAATTAGAGCCTCTGAAGAGAGTTCATTTGAAGCGCTCTGCATGACTACAATACAATACAACAACAACAATAAAAAAATAATAAAATTATGGCTATAACAAATAGGAATGTGTAGGAGAGCATACCTGCATGCATCCTGCAGTTCCCAGATGGCCATCCCATCGAGTCCCTCATGCTGGATCATCTGCAATTTCATCATCATCATCACTATCATCATGGGATCATCACTATCATCAAACGTGACATCATCATCACCATCATCCGGCACAGCATCACTATCAAACATGCCATCAATATCAAAAATATACTGACATCACTGTTATCAGAACAGTTCACCAATATCGATAAGCAATCAATATAGCAATCATTATCCATTACAACTTACTTCATCATCTCTTTCACTTCTTCACACACTCATTCATCCATCGCAATTCTTTCATCATCTCTTTCACTCCTTCATTCACACATTCCCCTTACCTTATCATCGGCCTCCAGTTCCCTCAACTTCATTTCCAACTGGAACCTGAGAATGTAGCTCGGCCCAACAGGAGTGATGTCCAGTATCTGGCACATGGCTCTCAACTGTGCGTTGGTTAAGTTGTCCAGAGTTAAACTATCTTCAAACAGTTTCGAAAATTTTAAAATCTCTTCATTGGATGTTTGAACTCCAGAAGTTCTTATCTGCAATAAAAAATGTTGAGATTTTAGTAATCTTACAGAAACTCAAAAATATCTAGGTTTTAACACCAATTATAATATGTTGCAACAAATCCAATATACCATGGATTATATTATATGACAAAACGAATGCATGGAAAAATAATTTATTATACCGCCAAATAAAAGCACTATAAACTACATAAAATGACAGCACATGACACAGTGCCAGCCAGTCACCTTGCTCATGAAATCAACAAACTCGTGCACACTCTCCCCGCGAGCATCCTTTCGTTGCAGGGCAGTCTCCTCAATTGTGTCTTGCAGAAATTTCGCCATCTCCAACTTCATCTTCAATCTCTTCCTCTTCTTATCTTGCTATCGGTTCATTACAAGTAGATAACAACAAAAATTAGTATAAATTATAATTAATTAATTGGAAAAAAATATGTTGTTTAATGATTAAAGAACACTAGACATGTTCTGTAACGACGTTTTGATGAAGAGCAAAACAACATGAAAAATGACAAGAAAGTAACCTCCTTATCCTCTTCTTGAAATGTACTTGGTAGCATGCCTGGAAAAAACTTCAAGACAACAGGGAGCAAAAATTCAGCAAAGGGTACAATGATGAAAACAAGGAATGGCACCAAGCGAAAAAGATCAGCTGTCGTACGAACTAACTGTTCAGTAATTTATTTCATTATTTATACATTTGCGTTAATCATTTGTTTCATAAGATCTCTATGCCCATTCATTAAAGATATCAATTTTAAATAAAAGGGGAATAAAAAATTGTGCCATCATCAAATACACATCAAGATCCTTAATAAATATTTATCATTGCAATCGTTAACAATAACCTGCTTCCTTTCCCTTCTCATCAGCGTTTTCCCATTGAGTACTGACCAAATTAACCTGATAGCAACTCGAACGTCAATGAACAACAGACGGAAACCATGGTAGTAATGTTTCAGTTCATTGATGATCCTCGTCGTCAGAGGAGGCTTTGCTGGAGACTTCGGAAGAATGGATGATTCCGATGTAGGAACCAGTCGAATTTTTGCATCGGACGGCATCATCGGCACAAGCACTTGCGTCAATGATGTTTGAGCATCGCTTGAGGCTGCACTTGAAGTTGGTGGTCCAACTGTGGGAGGGATTGCTTTTGTGATGGGAGTAGAAGACAATGTAGATGTCATAATGTTGGTTACATCAATCTCAGGTAATCCAAGAGAAGATGGTGATTGTTGTGGTGGTGATGGTGGCGGTTGTTGTTTTGTCTGTTGCTCTTGCTCCTTCTTAATTGTTTCTTTTATAGCTTCGAGAGTTTCACCAACTTTTGATTCTTGTAAAGAAGAAGAAGCATGCAGAAAACGAAAGTGGCTAAGTGCAACAACATTGCAGCTCGAAAGAGGAAAGCCATGAAAAGGTGATGGTAAATTATTCACTGCCAATGATTTTTTCTTTGGTGAATTCAACTTGCATTCATCTTTTTCCAAAGAGCAATATTTACAAATGGACAAATCTTGTGAATTACGTGCATAACTTCTAGACAATATGTGATGCGTTTTATAATAGAGCATCTTCTGAATATAATTATTTAACCCATCAGAGTCTTTCTGCAGAATCTGATTTGATGACCTTTTAAAATATAACCATATTTTTTAATAATCTGTATTAGTCTACATATAACCATCATTCAGAACAAATAGCACTTTTGCATGTAAATAAAATTTTTAATAAATAGAATGGTAGTGTTCAATGGTTATTCTAGCAGTGCTTCAGCGCATAAAAGATAAATGTATAATTTTGGCTTAGCTTGGAATATCTTAAACACATTAACAGGCATAAATTCAAAAATAGAATTAAACAGTGAACAAATTAAAAGCAGTTAACACATAATTTAATCAAGTAAAAGTTCAGAATATATGACACAATTATATTAGCATGAACAAAGATAATAAATATAAATATCTAAGTAACGTGAGAACCCATGAGGCAGGAGGCCATGTGATGGTGCAGGGGCTTTCAAATATAACCTCTGATGAACTGTTAACAAAATAATTAACAATTTCAAAAACAGATTTATAGGCACACAAAACAAAAATTTATACACAGGATGACAGGAATGGAGGCAGGCATATTAATTAATTACAACAACAACAACACACGTTTAGACGGCATTTTCCCCGAGATCGGGGGTTGCCGTTTGGCTACCTATGATGAAACCGAAATACCCCTCGACGCCATCCACATCTGTCACTCGCCTCAGTATCACGCAACCCCGCTTTCACCCTGTCCTTCTCCACCTGATCTCTCCATCCCAATCGCGGACAACCCCTTCCTACCACTCCTTCAACCTCGAACTCCAACGCTCGCCTAATCCCGACTCTTTCATCCCTTCTCAACACATGTTCATACCACCGCAATCTCGATCTCCTTATCAATGTCACAATGTCCTCATTCAGTCCCATCATTGACATCAGCTCTGTACTACTCCTCCTATCCTTCACTTTAACCCCACACATCATCCTAACCATAGCTCTTTCAGCCCTCTGCAGTACACTTTCCTCCTCTCTCCTCAACACCCAAGTTTCACCACCATATACCATCGCTGCTCTCACACATGCTTTATATACCCTCCCTTTCATCTTCACTGACCATTTCTTTCCACACAATACCCCACCCAGTTCCCTAAATTTCATCCATCCTACA